GCGACCCGACCCCGGATAAGCGGAAGAAGATGGATGGATGGATATACTCCAATTAATGATGAACTGATTACTAAATTAGTTGACCATTATTTCAATAATCAATTATTCATGATTTATCTGATGCACTTTTTCAGCCCTAATTGAGACTGCTCGGGATGCTGGTGGCAGCCTAAAGTCTGACTCCACTGGCGCTGCTTCATCTTTGCCCTTACGGTGCTTCAACATCCTCCACATGGGACCCAGTGAGAGTAACTCCAGGTTGATCTGTGCTCCTCTGTCATTGAGGAGACAGGGCATCTGTGCAGCACGGGGCCCCCCTTGGTCTGGTACCCTAAAGATGCAAGGCTGGTGACTTCCGATGCATCACCCCTGGGATGGCGGGCAGTTCAGGCCCATCCAGAGACGATCCATCTGGCACAGAGGCACTTCCTTCCCTCTCTGGAGGAAAAGCATGTGCTCATCAGGACAGACAACACCTGAGTTGTGATCCATATCAGTCACCAGGGTGGTACCAGATCATTGCTGTGCCTGAGGGAGATTCAGAGGCTGTGGATCTAAGCATTTTATATCAATCAGGGCTGTGCAACTACCAGGGATGCAGAACTCTGTCCCAACAGAGGCGCCCTGCAGGGTATTGGAGTTTACCTCCTCCGGAGGTATAGTAGATATAGGACAGCTTTGGCAGGGTCCAAGTCGATGTTTTTGCCTTGTGGAGCTTTAAACATTTCCCACTGTGGTTTTCCCTGGCAGAGGCCCGCGCCCCACAGGAAATCAATTCTCTCGTAAACACATGACCAGCTGGTCCGCTGTCTGTTTCCCTGCTTTCCATTGCATCTGCCCACTCACCATCGAGTGAAATAGTCAACCCTGTAGGTTCTCTTGGTGGTCCAGGAGAGCCTGGTTGCCGTTGCTCCTCAATCTGCTGGACAGAGAGCCATGCCGGCTCCCAGTCAGAGACCACCTACTGTCTCAGTTTGGGATGGGGAGATTTGCTATTTGTCATCTTGAGAAGAAGATTTGCCATCTCTTCTCACCATGAGCTCTTGCGCGACACGTTTGAATATATAATGGATAACTGCCAGTCACAATGATCACTCTGAAATTCTCCCACAGTGAGAAGATCCCAGGAGACCGAACGCAGCCTTTAACATGCCAGTGGCAGTCAGGGAGGAATTCAAACAACCATAGTCACTATGTACGTTTCGTTTAATGATGATTTATCACCTAGGTTCATTTGAATCACTTTTTACTCTTGATAAAATAAATATTTAAGAGCTTGGTTTTACATATAATCGAGTCGTCTTTTTATATAGCAATGAGTCGATGCAATCAGCTGGTTTTCCTTAGATAGAAAAGTGTTTCTGTAAAGTGCTTTAAGATGATGAATTCTGAGTTGGTGCTACAGAGATAAACTGAATAGAATCCATCTTCTGGTCCAGAGCATCCTCAACTCCTTTCTCTGTTAATAAAATTAATTTGGATAAAAACCATTTCAGTGTGGGAAAAAAAGAAAAAAAAAATTGCACAACTTGAATAAGAATGGAAATACTTCTCCACCTGAGTGCAAATTAAAAAACTAAAGCTGGGCTGAATGGATGAGGAATTAGGAAATGAAGGGCAGACTTAAGCATGAGGGAGTGGTGATGCAGCAGCGTGTTCTCACATAAGCTATACTCAGGATGAATTTCCCTCGAGTGTCCAGGGAGTACTCCTTCTTGCCACTTTCCACACCGAAGATGTTCACTTTGCCAAGGTGGCTTCCTGTGGCAACATATTTAGAGTCTGGAGAGAAGGCCACAGCCCACGCATCAACTATGACAGAGGGAGAGGGAGAGAGAGAGAGAGAGAGAGAGAGAGAGGAGGCTATGAAAACTTCATGTCTGTTCAGTATACCACTGAGGCACTGGCGGGGTTTTCTCCAGGGGGGGGGGCTATAAATTCAAAATAGACGTATAACAAAAACCAATCAAACGTATACTGGTGGTGGGTGTATTGGCCTCCTGAGGCTTTGTGAAGGTAAATCTGTGCTTTGCATGGTCCAATATTGTGTCACAAACCTAAAAAAAAAACATATCTACCTGTTTAATAATGGAGAAGCTATTAGTCAGCTTTATATTTTTTAATATATAAAAAATATTATCCGAGTATGTGTTTATTTAAGAGCAACTATGCAAATTAAAAAACATCTATAAAAAGTAGACTATATGATATTATTTTGAATGTTAATCCCAGATTGCTTATGCTTCTTTGCCTTTTCTAAAGCATCCTAAAAAATGATCATCTCTGTTGGATATTGTCTCCCACCCCATGCATGAATCTGGTGCTGAACTGGACAGCTCCTTCAGTGACAGACTGCTGCACCTTAAATGCACCAGGGAGCGTTATCACAGATCCTTCCTCCCAGCAGCTGGAAGACTCTAGAACCACCACTGTTCCCAACAACCTCAAGAAGTTGTTACATTCATGCTGATTCTGCATAGTTTCTACCTTAGTCAGTTAAATAACATGCAGCTGTCATTTTGCACATCTCTGCTGCTATTTTCAAATATCTGTTACTGTAAAAATGTCCATAGCTGGATATTGGTTATTTATTCTCGGGGTGCACAGTTTGATATTGTAAAAACACTTTATAATACAGTATTTTATTGTTAATCTTTTAACTCTTCACTATCATGTCATTCTTATACATTAATCTAAGGTCCATATTTGCGTGACCATTTTTTCTAAAATCCATTTTCTGCTGTAAACACCAGAGTCTTCCCATTGTGGGACAATACAGTGATTTTCTATTCTATTCTAAAAAGGGCTCTAAATCTGCCATACCTGTCATGCTGGGTCAGATCCGGACATTTGAAAATGGAGGCAGGCAGTCAAGGCAGCGGAATAAAGCATTAGCCACGCTGCATGTAGTTAGCTAAGCCTTGTAGCTAAACTAGGTTCTGGAAATGGACCGAGTGAACCGTCTCCATCAGTCTTTGGATTGTCGATACATTTTAATGTTTGGTTGATCAGGTCCAGTTTCTCTTTGCACGTTTGCTTCCTGGTCGACCCGTTAATCACCCTCACTGAATCTGTGACAACAGTTGCTGTCACCTCAGGGCGCACTAGATGTGTGCAACGTTTAATGAGAATCTACGGCCAAAGATTTTTGTGGAAATACGTCACCAAGATTAAAGATAAAATATTTATCTTGTACATCTAAAAAATATGTATCAATACATTTTGAAATATTTCAATTCTGTAATTTAATATGAATTTGTTTTTTTTTTACTTCTTAATCAAGGTCATTGGGTGGGGCGGTGCCCTAGCCCCCTGGATTGGCCAGCCACCACTGCACTCAGGCATTGTATTTAATCTAAATACCACCAACACAAAAAAAAAGGAATGTAGTGAGAGTAAAATATAAAACTAAGGCAACAACAAGCTCCTCTCACGCCGTCCTACCTGGTCCAGCATCCATGGACTTAATCTGCTTTCCTGATTCCAGGTCCCACAGACGGATGTGTGCGTCCAGGGAGCTGGAGGCAGCGATGGCTCCGTTGTGACTGATGTCTACAGACACGACTCCCAGCTGGTGGCCCTCCAGAGTCCACAGCAGCTCCAGCTTCTCGTCTGACCTGCAGGGACAATGAGATGCCAACATTAGGTCCCACAAGTCAAACCAGAGTTAGGATATCTTAGCAATCTTATAATATTGGAAAAATAGCACGGAAAAAGAAAAGATTGGGAAAAAAACAGTTAAAAACGATTCTTTCATTCTCTATCAGACTCACCACATGCATTCTCACCATCACCAACACACTCCCAGCATGCAAGGAAGGAAGGGAGGGAGGAAGGCAGGAAAGAGACTGTAATTATTGATATCAGTACTGAAAAAACGAAGAGCTTTTCACCATTTCCAGACTTTGACCAGATCATCTAGTGAACCAGTGATGATTGTTTCTGAGCCATCCGCTTCACTTTTGCCCCAAGCTGCTGTCCAGATGGCATCATCATGAGCTGTTGGGAAACAAGGATCAGAAGTAAAAAAAAAATAAAATTCAACAGAGAAACAGACTCAGATAGATCACCCCTCTGTAGATATAAACAAAACAAAATCAGTTTTTCCTTTTGACTTCTTTCTCTGACAAATGATGAAACAAACCGTAGTGACGAGGCATTTTGAAGTGTTTTAACACATTGCCAAAGTGCATTGACGCTGCGTTGATACCGCTCACAGAATACTGACACCTGCTGGACATTTAAAGACACTACAGGCAGCTTATTGGACGGACTAAACTGAATTTATTTGATGACCTACTACAAGTGATAGTAGGTTATATTGTATTATTCCATATCTATGTTTAAATTGAAAATATATTTGATATTTTTAGTTGCAGCCAATAAATAATGTAAACACATATCATAACCTGATCATTTAGGGGAAAAGGTGAATGAGGACACTTGTGGGCTAAGAATTTAAATCGTTATCTAAAAACAATAAGTACGGTTAAAATAGTAAGTAAACTGTGTCAGTTTGAAATGAAATTTTATTTAGATAAGTTGAGTGACAACTGAGAGGAAAATGATGAAACAACAAGAAAATTAAAATAAAAACTCAACGGCTGGCTGAAGCATTCCTGCTCCTTTAGGATGCTCCTAAATTATTGATCATGTTGACAGAGACGTTTTTAAACACCGTCAGTCAGTTAGAAACAACTCCGACATATACACCGATACATATGGGCTGGACGCATGCACCAACGCATCACAGTTGTTGGACCCATCACTACAAAAAAGATGTGGAGGGTAAGTTCATAAAAACTCACTTCGAAAAGTTAAGGCATAGACGCCCATTTCTGACTCAACTTAGGCACAAACATGTCATGATTACTGTGTTTCACCAAAAGGTCGCCTTGCTTCCTTAAGACAACTAAATGAAGACAGGTTCAACTAATCAGCATTGCTGCTTACCAAAGCAGACCATGCAGTCGATAGCAGAGTTCATTGAAGAGTTTTCATTGGTAGAAAACTATGAGGTGTTTAGACATCAAAATACAAAAAACACAATGAAAATCCTGTTACTGTCAATAAAACTGGGGAAAGGGGTGAGCAGGTTATTTCTGAGAGATTAAATGAGTAGTTTGTCACCATTTTAATTTTAAAAATTTTTTTTTTTACAGAAATATATCTTAAGTAGATGTGATATTTAACAGTGTCAATCAGCTTCGCTAACATCATGTGACCACTTTGGGAAGGGCTTCAACTCGCCCGAAAACTTAAACAGGAATTTAAACAGCCTCAGTATTCAGTCAAGATGTAGGAGTTTGTAGGAGAGTTGCAGTCAGTTGGGTAGAGTCTGGATAGATTCTAAGAATAGATTGGTTGTTTTTCCAACCAACCTAGTTGGTTAAAACTACTTTGGTTAAATTAAACAATATAATGATCAGAATCTGAGCAGGCCACTGATTTCAGTTGTAACATTAGTATTTTCTGCTGTTGCATCAGCTGTAAGACCTTGCCTTCCAATGCAATGGTTGTTGGTTAAAGTCTTGGCTTAAGGCTTTTGAAAGTTGCTATTTAACCAGTTATTTGGCCAATGTGAACAATTGGTATTGGTTTGCCCTTTTACAAATACAGATTGGGTAAAAACACTGGCAAATTAGTTTGTTTAACCAAACGATTGGTTGAACACATTGCTTCTAAAACCTTTCATTTTGCTCATTATTACCTAATTTTCAATAATGAGCAAAAGCACGTTCACTGTCTGCTTGAGCTTATGACACTAAAATGACAGAAAAACAGTGCACCTTAAATAATTATTCTCTTGCAAGACATTTTATGCAAAATAGACCTTACAAAAATTTTTATTATGCACACCAATCATTAAAATTTTCAACAGAACTTAAATGGGGAAAAAAAAAACCAAGAAAAACAGAGGCGGTGGCGATTTAGTCAACATAACTCACCATGTTCCTGCTTGAACAGGATGCTGTACTGTAAATGAAAGCAAAATCAGAGTAAACCTTTGTCGTATATCTCACAATTATATGAAGCTATTTAAAGTAATTTATTACCTGTGTGCTCATTTTTTTTTGGTCCTTCACGCTGTATTCAAAGTGGTCTTTATACTGCAATTATAGTAAAAAAAACATCCTCAATGCAACTGCAGCGGAATAGGTTTAAATAACATTTGTTTGCAATGAACATCTAAAGCAGAGTCAAGCGTGGTGGCTAATGCTGGCTAGTTCTCTCTAGCATGTTAGCATTGCAGCAAAATGCGGCAAGCTGCATTAAAAACACTGACAGTACAACTTTAGGAGTAGCTTTAGATGTGACGATAAACTCTCACTTACCTTCAATCTGAAAAAAAATTAACATGTATTTGGATTTCACGGACTTACATATGAAAGCCCATAACAACGTTTCACGTCACTTCCGCCTTAACCTTCTTTTTTTAGCGGGGTTCGAAAAATGTCAAAAGTTCCTCACTACCGCCTCCACGGAGGCGGTGGAGTTGGGGATTACAGGACAGTGATGCTTGCTTGTCTTGTTGCGTTTAATGGTGGTTGGCAAATATCTTTTCGGTGCGCATTACCGCCACCTACTGGCGAGGAGTGTGAATCAGAATGGCCCTATTCATAAAGATGCCTCTATTTATTTATTTATTTATTTATTTATTTATTTATTTATTTATTTATTTATTTATTTATATACCTCTATCTATAATATTACTTATATATATTATTACTAAAAATATACTAAATCCTCATAATTATTCCTGTTAATATTACATATTTAAATAAATATTGATAACATTTCTTTGTCCTTTTCTGCATAATATCTATCAAATTCAATTTTACTTTCTCCTTATTTAGGTCTCTAACCAAATTCTTCCTTTCTGCTTCTTCATACTTCTTACAATACATCACTACATGTTCTACTGTTTCGTCTTGTCCACAAAATTCACATTTGCCTGATATATGTTTCCTTATTTTGAATAATGTATTATTTAATCCTGTATGGCCAAATCTAAGTCTTGAAATAACTGTTTCCTCTCTTCTGCTTCCTTCTGCTATCCTCATTTCTCTGACTTTCCGTTGAATCCTATAAAACCATCTTCGTCTCCTTTCCTCTTCCCATTGTTTTTGCCACCTTTTCTTCATCCTTTTTTTAATGATACTCTTATTTTCTGTGTTACTTAAGTTAATCATCATAACAATGGTTTTATTTTGTGATGCTTCCTTAGCAATCTTGTCTACAATTTCATTTCCTTTAATCCCTATATGTGCTAGCACCCAAATAAATATAACATCATTTGAACTTGATATAACTTGCTGTATTTCAATTAAAATGTCTGATCTACTTACCAAACTATGATTTTGTATACTGACTAAAGCTGAACTCAAATCTGAACATATAATTGATCTTAATGGTCTCACTTCCTCTATCCATTGTAATGCTAATAATATTGGTAATAATTCTGCTGTATATACTGACAATTCATTATTTACTCTCCTATTTACTTTGAACTCTGGAACATAGAATGCAATACCTAGCCTATTACTCACACTTTTACATGAATCTGTATATATTTGAATATAACCATAACTACTAACATATTCCAGTATCATTTTATAATAAATATTGCCTTCCGTTTTCTTTTCTAACCATGTCACATCCACTGTAGTTTCAGGTATGATCCAGGGAGCGGTAGCGGTAGAGTTGGACTACATTTAGTTTGATCTAATTTAAGTTCTCTTAGTTTTTTCCCTTCTATCCATCCAAACCTTCCTGTTTGTCTCTTCTCCCTTTCCCAAATGGCTGCAGTGTTTCTTTTGTAGGATGATCTGGACCATGACCCTGTAAACTAACTCACTAATTAAGCGATAGTTGTCCTGATTTCCAGGCATTTCTCCAGTTTCAACTTGCAAAGCTATAATAGATGTTGTTTTTAATGCTCCTGCAATTAATCTTAAAGCTTGTGTCTGTATATACTCTAACTTTTTAAGTGACTTAATAGCTGCTGAACATTAACCACACTATCATAGTCTATTGCTGATCTTATCAATTCTGTATACAATAGAATTTAAAATCCTCCTTCTCA